GACTTTAAGACTTTCTTGGGCAAAACAAAAATTGGCATCCAGTAATGAACCAGAGCATATAAAACAGATTCCACTAACTGGAGTTTACCAGCATAAGAAAGTTTCTGAGCTCTCCATCCTCTGATCCTACGTGTTAACTTGTCTACCAGCATAGCACATTCAGCACTAGACAATTTACCCGAGACCAAAGGCAATCCCAAATAACAAACTGGGAGCTAACCTTCCCTAAAACCAGAAACTTGCAGAGCAATGGTCTTAAATTGGTGAGCAAATCCACCAAAAAATACCTCACATTTATCAGGATTGCATTGGAGACCAGAGAGCCTATAAAATTTGTCCAAGATATTCCTGATCCCACTCAAAGAAAGGCCTGAACCCTCCGAGAAGATCAAGAGGTTGTCAGCAAAGCTTAGATGAGTGAGACCTAACTTTCTACACTGAGGGTGATAAGGAAAGTCTCCATTAGCAGCTGCTCTATTTAACAAACCTGTCAAAGGCTCCATTGCAATCGTGAAGAGGTAGGGAGAGAGAGGATCTCCCTGCCTGGCCCCTTTTACAGCTCCAAAGAAACCAAATAGACTGCCATTAACAGTGATGCTAAAATAAGCTGAACTTAAGCAAAGTGAGATCCATTTAATGAAACTTCCTGGAAACCCCATCAACTTCATCACACTAAGGAGATAACCCCAATGGACGGAATCAAATGCCTTCTTAAGATCAACCTTAATGGCAGCTCTAGATGATAACTGTCTCTTGTGATAATTCTGGACAATTTCCTGAGCCATTAGGATATTCTCTAAGATACTATGCCCCTGAATAAAGGCTTATTGATTTCGACTAATGACTGCACGAAGAACTTTCTTTAACCTATTTGCTAAGACTTTAGATATTATCTTGTATAGAACATTTATACAAGCAATAGGTCTGAAAGAATTAAGCCTATCTGCATTAGGTATTTTCGGAACAAGAGTCAATGAGGCAGAATTCATACCTCTAGGGATTATCCCCTCCTGGAAAAAAGCCTGGACACCCTTAATTATATCAGGTCCAATAAGTCCCCAACATTTCTGATAAAATCTTGTTGTCCACCCATCTGGACCTAGAGCTTTAGCCAGATTCATGTCAAAAAGAGCTTGTATTATCTCCTCCCCAGATACTAACCCACAAAGCATGCTTCTATCTGCATCTGTAGGCTTCACACTCAAGCATCCTTCAATAAGCTCACAGTCCACCACCACATCTTTGTTAATGGTTCCAAATAGATCCTTATAGAAAAAGATTGCTTCATTAGCAATGTCCTTCAAGTCAGTTAATTCTCCCCATTATGAGATATTAGCTTCCTAATCTTCTTTCTGGCATTACGTATGCAAGCATACTTATGGAAGAACCCTGAGTTGGAGTCCCCTAGAGCAAGCCAGTTAATACAAGACTTCTGTCTAAAGAAAGCCTCTTCTGCCTTTTGCAACTTCATATAGTCACCAGCAAGGAGCTGAACTTCCTCAAAAATCTTCTCAGATGGAACCTGGAGAGCTTGGATCTGTTTAGCTGTAAGCTCAATCTTTTTCTCCTTTACTCTAGCAGAAATATCTGAGAACTCTGTTTTATTCAATTTTCAAAGTTCTGTTTTCAGAAGGTATAACTTCTGCTTAACACCAAACAAACCAGTTCCCCTCACTTCTTGCCCCCAACACGATTCCAGTAATGAAGAGAAAATATCATGGGAAAGCCACATATAAAAAAAGCGGAATGGTTTCGGGTAAGACTTTTCAGGGACACAAGGGGTAATCAGAATCCCACAGTGATCAGAGAAATCAGGAGCCAGAAATTCAACAACACATTCAGCAAACTACTCTAACCAATCCACATTAACCATCAATCTATCAAGCTTGTGAGCAATAGGATTAGTTTGTTGCTAATTTGACCAGGTAAATAGAGGGCCAGAAGCTGTGTGGTCAACTAGCTCCATCTGTTCCACTCATTCTCTAAACGCAACCATACTTCTTGAGATAGAGACCTCATTAGAGGCTTCTATAGGGTCCAGAATAGTATTGAAATCACCCCCTACAACCCAAGGAGACCCCTGCACCCTCCAATGACTCATCTGCTTATATGTGACAACCCTATTCTTTTCCTCATTGGAACCATACACCACTGTAAGAAAGAATTGTGCTCCTTGCTTCAGTGAAACCACCATATGCATAAATTTTTCCTCCTCAGCTAACACACGTAAGGTAACATCATCATTCCACGCGATCCAAATCCTTCCCAGCTTATGTTTAGAATAATTATCCACAAATTGGTAACCAGCAAACTTCCCTCTTATTTCCTCAATTTTCTCTTTATTTTGCACTCTTGTTTCAAGTAAAGCAAATATCAAAACCCTATATACCAGAAGGTAATGAAGCACTGCATTGTGCTTCAAGGGGCCATTGAAGCCCCTTGTGTTCCAAACTAGCAGCGTCATTTGTGGGAAACAACCACCTTAGTGGTTCCCCCTTTACTTCTAAGCTCATCTCTTCCTCCCTTCTTTGGAGGAGCTTGTAAGATAATGTCTCGTTGGCCACATAAATTCAAATGCATTAGACTGCAAAATAGGAGTAAGGTACATTCAGAGCAGCTTTTGGCTTTGCTCCATTAATCACCTTATTGAATTCCTCCTGGGAGGGTAAAGCACTCGGGGTAACATGAGGAGTAGAATCTTCCATGACTTTCTTTCCTTTATCAACAACCACTTCCTCCCCTGAATCCTCAGTAACCCCTTTCTCAGTGGTGCTCTCTGCCCCAACACATTCTAGCACAGGATCCTCCTTCTTCTCAGTACCCACAACCACAGGTTGCCCCAACACAAGAACTTTGGATCGCTTGCGCCGCCAGACTCTTTTAGTAGGAGACCCCGGAGAGGGCAAAGAGCAGTCATGCCCAAAACCCCCACAGGCACCACAACACCTAGGTAACCCACAATACTCAATACCAATGATAAACTCAACCATATCATCCGGAGCCACACTGATTTTGTCAATTCTAGGCTTAGCAGCACTCACTTCCACACAAATACGAACAGTACCAACCCTCTCCCGGTGTGCAGTAGAATGATCCATACAGAGAGGCTTACCAATAGAACTCGCAATTCGACCCAATCCTTCTCTCATCGACAATTCAGCAGGTAACCCAGATAACTTGACCCAAACCGGAACAGCTGAATTGTCAATCTCCAACGCTCGAATCCCAGGGACCCAGCGTCGAAGGCAAATGATCTTCTCCCGATAGTGCCATGGCCCTCCCTCAAAAACCCATCGACAGGTCGCCTCCGATGGAAATTGAAAGAGAACCAGCTTATCTTCTAAGAGCGAAACCTTCACCTCCCCATCTCGATTCCAGATTCAGTTAGCCCAGAAACGTAAAGCCGAAAGGGAAGGCGGAGCAACCAGGAACTGATCTACGACTACAAGGTTGTGCTCCCACTTCTTCGTACCCTCCTCGATCACCGATTTGGGGATCCGAAGCGAACCATTGACAAACTCCGGCTCATAGAAATCCAATCGAAACTACTCTGAGACAGGGAACAGTGAAGCCCAGGACCTACCGCCACCAACGGCGCCAAGCGTGGCTCCGTCGGCGAAGGCGGTCATCGCGACGAAACAAAGAAGATTTCAGAGAATTTCAAAGAAGAGAGAGAAATCCTACCTGACTTTCCGTTAGCAATTTTGTTAGTAATATTGACTTGACAACATGATACTGACTTGGAAGAGATACATGAATGTCAACATTGCAAAATTTTAGTATATTAACTAAGAAAAGAGTTACAAAATTATTAACGATAACGTAAAAATTGCTAATATTTTGATACATTGCGAAAGATTTGGTTAATTCAGAGCATTTTAATAGGTTTGGATAATATAAAAGAATCCGAAAAAGGTTTAGATAAAAAATAGACTTTATTCAAAAAAAAATAATTTGACAATAATACGGATACATAAGTTTTGGGTAAATGACACATTTGGTCACTGAGATTATTAAATTGTGTCATGTTTAGTCACTAGAAAAAATTAATATTAATTTTGGTCACTCGAATTACCGAAACTGGTCAAATTTAGTCACTCTCGCGTCAGTTTCCGTCCAACTCCATTAATGTAGTTGGACGGAAACTTTTGGGAGAGTGACTAAATGTGACATGTTTCAGTAATACGAGTGACTAAATGTGACATTTTTCAATAATTCGAGTGACCGGAGTTGGACAGAGGCTACAGAAGAGTGACCAAATGTGACCTGTGTCAGTAATTCGAATGACCAAAATTGATATTAAATTTTTCTAGTGACTAAATATGACACGATTTAGTAATCTCAGTGACCAAATGTGTCATTTACCCCATAAGTTTTAAACAGATAAAATACGTGCAGATACATATACGTGTATTAAACGGAGAATTTAATAGCTAAAATATAGAAGAGAGGAGTTGATTTTCCTTTCTTAAACTATTATTTTTAATTATTTATTACATTAATTATTTTCTCATAATATTCTCATTTGCTATTTTAGGTAGTTAGCTCTCCCCTCTCTAACTGCGGTCAAGTTTGAAAAACTCACTAATTGCGCTTGTTAAATAGATGTATTGTTGAGAATGCATGTATAATATTATACATGTATTGTCGAATTTGATGCATTGTAGAATACAACGTTTGGTATGTGTGATTGTGTATGTCGCATAAGCTAAAAGCTGAGACAAAACAATCTCAACTCAACTATCTCAACAATCACAACTAAAAGTTGAGATATAACAATCACTCAAAATGAGTGATAGTTTCTGTCACATCACAGAAACAATCCATGTATAGTTTCTCCTAAAAAAACAAAAAAACGATGCATTGTAAACAATACATGCATAATGACAATCTCAACAAAACTATCGCAACTTCCAAACGACCCCTAAGATTACAAGTTTTACAACCTTTAAGCACGGGATGTGACCCGTAATTGCGGCCATAAACAAAAAAACGAAACTCGAAAGCTCCCGCCCAAATCATCCCTAGTTCAAACAAACAAACCCCATTTTCAGTTATCACACCCACTCACAGTTACCATCTCTCCAGGGGCAAATGGTGGCTCAGCATCAATCCCCGCCGTCGGCGAATCAAAACCCTAGCTCCAGCAGTTCCAAAAGGGCTTATCATGTGGGAGGAATCTCAGTGGAATTCCCGTACCAGCCGTACGGAACGCAGCTAGCGTTCATGGGTCGGGTCATATCGACGCTGGAGCGAGCTCAGAGGGAAGGACACTGCCACGCTTTGCTCGAATCTCCTACTGGAACTGGGAAATCTCTCTCGCTACTGTGTTCCACTCTGGCATGGCAGCAGACCCAGAAGCTGAAGAATCAGTATGCGAATCTCACCCTCTCTGAACCGGATCCTGAGGCGATGATCTACCCGAACCCGATCATCGGTCATGGCGGTGGATTCGTCCCTGAAACGAAGCCTTCGAGTAAGTGAAGTGAACGTTTGTAGCTGATTTCCCATTAATGAAATTTGGCAACACTTCGCCTTCCTTCTTCTAGGGTTTTGAAAATCGTGCTATATGAATGATGTTGTTTTTAGGAAATTTGCTTGCGGGTGTGACAGAGTCAACATCTCAAGCGGCGCCGAGCAGTAAAGCGCAGCAGATGAAATTGGCGCCTACTATCTTTTATGCATCGTGCGTCTTTTTGCTTTGCTGTTTTTTTAGCTTCTGAGCCATTTCATCAAATACTGAAACCAATCGAGGAGTTTACTTGTTGGGATTTCTGATTCTCTGTTACTTTTTAAATTGAAGGAGGACGCACTCTCAAATTTCCCAAGTGGTACGCGAATATCGGAAAACTGGCTACCGGGTTCCAATGGCTATACTGGTGAGTTGCTCGGGTTGTCCTCATTGATGTCATCTTAACTGGAAACCACCAGCAGAAGCTTAATATCTTACTGCAATCTTCCAGGCTTCAAGGAAACGTTACTGCACAAACGAAACTGTGAATCGGTCTGGGAATATCGATGAAAAATGGTCCGGCTTTAGCCCTATAGACCCTTTCTTTACTGTACCTTGTTTTCCTTTCATTCCTCATTTGACTACTTCGTTAAATCTACAGTAAACTGCTCACGAAGAATCCCGAAGGTGGATGCTCATACTTTAAGTAAGTTGACTTCCAGCTCCATGTCTCCTTATCCTATTGATTCGACTCCATTGATAATGTTTTTCAACGTATCAGAAATGTGGAGAAACTCAAGGACCATGCATCACTTCAAAAGGGAGGATGCCACGAGGTCCATGATATTGAAGATCTTGTGAAAGTTGGAAATGTTGTTGAAGGTACCATTTCCTCCCTCTCATTAAAATTCATGATATTACTTTATGAGAAAGGCAAAAAAAAAGGATCAGTGCTAGTTATTTCTTCTCTAGTTTGTGTACCATGCATGCCTCTTTCTATTCAATTCAATGTACCTCGAATGGTTGACTCTTGTTCCAGGTTGCCCGTATTATGCTGCTCGCTTAATGGCAGAGAAGGCACAGTTGGTTTTCTGCCCCTATAGCTATGTAATTAATCCAATCGTTCGTCGTGCGATGGATATTGACATCCAAGGAGCCATTCTTGTCCTAGATGAAGCCCAGTATGAGTTGCAATCTCTTACTCAGTCATTCATATGAAACTAAAAATGATCAAGATTTGTGCATTTCCTTAGGTTATGGCTCTCTAGTTGTCTTATGCCCACTGTTCCCTTGATCAACAGCAATATCGAAGACATTGCTCGTGATGCTGTTAGTGTGGATCTCAATGAAGATGCTCTACAGAGTAGGGATTAATTATAGATTTCCTCTCCCTTTGTTTTCTCAGTCACCTATGTTACTTATTACTGTCATATGCTATCCAAGAACTACAGACAGAACTACGCCAAGTTTGTTCAGGCGATGCGATGATATACCAGCCACTGTATAAAATGACGCAGGTAACTAATTGCTCCGGTCAACTACTCCTAATTCCTATGTAATCTTGCCATCTTTCCTGGAATCATGACTTAGCTGTGCTTTAGGACCTGTTGAGTTGGATGGAGCGGAAGAAAAGCAAACTTGAGATGCGTGAATTTCAGCAGTTCTACTCTTGGTGAGCAATCATGTCACATATTTGAATCTTGCAGTGTTTTTAAAATCATATCGTGGGCCCAACCGAAGTATAACTGGTAATCCTTTTTAGCGGTATGAAATGGTTGAACTACGGTTTCAGCATAAAATACCTATTGGTGACTTTTCCGCTACAACCTCCAGTACGATTTTATAATCTTTGCATATTTTTGCTTTCGAAAGTAAACAATGCATCAAGGTTTCTGTGTTATGTTTGTTCCTAAGTTTCTTTTCATGCTGCAATCTCTTGTAGTTGGACAGGTGATCAAGCTTTAAGGGAGCTCCAAGAAGCTAACATCACTCAACTGAGCTTTCCAATCTTGTTGGACTGTGCCCAAAAGGTTCTTCATCAGAGACTGAATATTGGGTTTGATTGTTTTTGCTTGGCTGCTTCTCAGCAGTTGACTATATATCAATGTTCTCCCTGTGTGTTTTCCATTGGGATGATTTCTTGCTGGGGCTTATGTCTCCACCTTTTTTCTTCTTGTTTCTTTCTTTGAGTAATAGCAGGGACCCTGTTTCTTTTTTGTCCTGGGTTGATTTTGACCTTTTCTTTGTACTGTTTCTGTTTCTTGTGTTCACCGCTGGTGTATTTGTGATACTAATAAATTTTCACCTTCATAAAAAAAAATGTTCTCCCGGCACAGACAATTAAAGATGCAACTGTTAAAGAGGCAAAATTTGCTCTTTTAAGTGGCATGTCCGTGACAACATTGGAAGGTGATATTCATGGTCTCCTCTTATTCGGCATTAATTGAACTTCAGTATACCATTTACTGATTTCCGAGTTATTACCAGGTCTTTTCTCTGCGCTCAAATATTTTTTCTCAAGAAATGGATCCCACATTTCTGATTATCAGCTTGCTGTCCAGCGAACTGTAAAAAAGGACACAAGTAAGTTTTCTACTTAACCTAGTTATTTTATTCCACGCATTACTCATCTTTTAGTAAGTCTCTTCTGTACCATTGAACATTCCACTTCACTTTTTTTTATCAGAAAACGTTGTTACTGGCTGGACACATACTTTTAGCTTGTGGTGCTTGAATCCAGCTGTTGTGTTCAAGGAAATCACTGATCTTTCCTTGTCAGTCATTCTAACATCTGGGTAAGCATCAGGCTTTATGTTCTTCATACTATGAAGTTGTTTCTTATGAAAAGTTACTGGCTCCTTTAGGACTCTGTCTCCTATGAATTCCTTCCCATCTGAGCTTGGAGTGAACTTTGGAACTTGTATAGAAGCCCCACACGTGGTTAATATTAAATCACAGGTACTACTTGTTGATACGTTTTTATCGAAGTTGTGATGTTCTTGTGGCAAGTGCGAACTTGGGTATCCTCTGCATGGCGTGCATGGGATGAGCTGGTCATCGCTACTTGATTTCCATCTTTATCTATAATTGTGTTCTTGTCTCTGCGTTTTTCAGCTTTTATAATTGAACTGTAGGTTTGGACTGCCGTCATATCCTCGAGTTATGAAAAGTACCCATTGAATGCTAGTTATAAGACAGCATCTACATTTGCCTTCCAGGTAACTGCTTCAGTGTAATTTATTTACGATAATAGAATAACACCTCTTCCATAATCCAGTGCAAGATAATGTCATCCTTGCTTTTAAAGGATGCACTTGGGAAATCCTTGGAGGAAATTTTGAAAGTTGTTCCCGCCGGCTCTCTTGTGTTCTTTCCAAGTTATAGTATGATGGGAAAACTATGCAAGCGGTGGCAAGAAACAGGTCAATGGTCGAAACTACACGCACAGAAGTCCCTCTTTGTTGGTAAGACCTTTGCAGTTTATTTGTACGCTGAAATCTGAAGCCATTAGCTACTTTTTTCCTTTGTTTTTTTCGCAACTCTCTTTTTTTCATGCTCTGGTTCGTGTACCCCCTCCCTCTCTTTTGTTGTAGTGTTAAATGCTAAGGTTTGCTTTGGCTTGTGCAGAGCCAAGAGGAGGAAACCAAGAGGAATTTGACTCTCTTCTCAAGGGTTACTACAAGTCAGTTTCTGGGAGTGAAAAAGTTCCCGACCGGACTAAGAAAGGAAACAAAAAAGCAGACATAAAAAAAAATGGGGGTGCTTTTCTTGCTGTTTGCAGAGGAAAGGTGTGCAAATTTGTAATGATTCATATTAATGTTTCCATCTTCTCAAGGAAGTAACTTAGCCTTCTCTGCAGGTCTCAGAAGGAATAGATTTTTCTGATGATAATGCTCGAGTAGTTGTATCCTTGGTTGATTGAATTATGTTTTTCTTAATGCTGACGGTGATCTTCTATTCATATCAAGTTCTATTTCTTCCGTTGGTATTAGGTGTCATCAAGTAATTTCTGCCATGCCTGGTAGCATGCTCTATTCATTCTTGCTTTTGCCCCTGCATGATTACAATATTTTCTTTGTTGTAAGCCCTTGACAATTTCAGATAATAGTTGGGATTCCTTTTCCAAACATGTAAGAATCCCTAACCAGTTCTTGAAGTCTTTTCAAACAAAAAAATGGATGTTCCGATCAAGGATTTGCTGATTGAAGTTGAAATTTCTTGTAGTAATGATGTTAAAGTTCACTTGAAGAAGAAGTACAATGACACTTTCAAATCAACTAAGAACCTTATAAGTGGAAATGAGTGGTACTGCCACCAAGCTTTCCGAGCACTGAATCAAGCTGCAGGTATGCTCTTGCATAACTTGGATTTTGTTGTTGCTCACATGCCTGTAAATTTGTCCTTGTCACATTAAGCCTTTTAAATGCATGTTTTAGTATTTTCTTTCTAAAACTCTTGTTGATAATGTCTTTAATATATTATTATCACTATCAAGTTTTGGAGAATGCTTGCACAATACACAGCATATCTTTGCGTTCTTTTTCAGGACGATGCATACGCCATAAAAATGACTATGGAGCAATCATCCTTTTAGGTAGTTCTCTTTCTTCGTTCTTCATATATATCTGACCAGATCTGTACCTGTTACTAAGGCACAACTGCCTCTGTTTAACTGCAAATAATAATTTATGGTGTTTCGAATTTTGGAAGTTCCTTGGTTGATTAGTATTCGGAAGGTAGATTCAAATAGATGTTGATTGTCAGTCCTGGTCCCCTACTTGTGTCTGCGTCATGCTTGAACTATGATACCCATGGCATATTATTCTTTATGAAGTAAATTTTAGAAGTCCGATCAGTGGAATGTACTCAAAAGGCTTGGCTTGGAACTTCCTCTGAAGTTGAAACTCCATTAGTCTTCATATCCTGGCTCAGGTTCAGACAGTGCATTGATTTAAATTAACCAATGTTGTTATTCCTCATAGCCATAGAATGCCTTTGATATCCGTTTTTTTTAATGACCTACGTCAGTGAACATGAAGTAAAAAAGCTGATATGGTTCCCAATGCAGTTTCTTGAACTCGTCCTTCCATTCTTTGTTTCATCAAGCTGACCTGAATTTCTTAGAGCAGATGAGCGCTATCAGGAAGAGAGGAACTTGGCATACATTTCCAAGTGGCTCAGAAAATCCATTCAACACCATGATAGTTTCGACGATGCGCTTGAAGGATTAAAAAGATTTTTCAATGATGCCAAGGTTTCCACTTTGTCAACCTCTCTTTTGCATATAACCTACCTTAGTTTCTAGTTTAAGCGCGTTTGACTCATTTAAGGTCACACTTTTTCCTATATGAACCTGCTTATAGGCAGCTGTTGCTATAAATACACCCAGCCCACTGCTAAATTTTGTGGTTAAGGAGGAGAAAGATATCACCAAGGATCAGGATAATAGATGTACAGGTGAAAGCAATAATAGGTGGAGCAAGCTGAGTTGTTGTGGACAGAAGCTAGTTGCTGCACCAAAATGTAGCCCTTCTGCGAACTTTGACTCCATACGAGAAGTGAAGCCAATCATAATAGAAGATGACAGTGAAAGTTGCAACGTTATTGACCTAGATCGCCACTCTCCGAAAGCCACTTGGTAATAGCTCTTGAAAATTCCAGATGAAATGGAAACATATTCTCTTAATTTCCCTACATGTTTTGTAGTGACAATGGGCAACAGAAATGATTATTCTTCTTGAGCTCATCTCCTTGTGCTTGCTGTAGGTTAGCTGAGGCATCTGACTCTTTAGATCATGCAGTAACCCTTGTCAGAACTCCAGAGTTGGTTTGGAATAGGATCCCAGCCACTGGCAGCCCAGAATCTTCATCTACTACGGCTATGGATTACGGCTTGAGTAAGATTCAAGCCTTTACTGAGATAACGACTCCTAACGAAGTTACTTACCGTGTCCAGGGTTCATCCATATGCAGTCCTGAGAAAGTCTTTCGTATATCTACCTTTAGTCCAATATCAGAAGAAGATGCTCCTAAGGTTCCGAGTGTTAACGCTCGTACCCAGAAAAGAAGGAAATTAATGGATTCAGCTTTATTTATTCCTCAACAACAGACTGATTGTGGCAATACAAGTAAGTCAGGATGTGTCAGCTTAACAAGAAGCCATTTCTCTTACACAAACTCAAGTGAAAGAAATAATCGGTGGAGCAAGCTGGGTTGTCGTGGGCAGAATCTAGTTGACGCACCAAAATGTAGCCCTTCTGCGAACTTTGACTCCAAAGGAGAAGTGAAGCCAATCATAATAGAAGATGACAGTGAAAGTTGCAACGTTATTGACCTAGATTGCGACTCCCCAAAAGCCACTAGGTAATAGCACTTGAAAATTCCAGCTGAAATGGAAACATATTCTCTTAATTTCCCTTACATGTTTTGTAGTGACAATGGGCATCAGAAATGATTATTCTTCTTGAGCCATCTCCTTGTGCTTGCTGCAGGTTAGCTGAAGCATCTGAATCTCTAGATCTTGAAGTAACCGTTGTCGGAGAAACTCCAGAGTTGGTTTGCAATGGGACCCCAGCCACTGGCAGCCCAGAACCCTCATCTACTACGGCTATGGATTATGGCTTGAGTAAGATTCAAGCCTCTACTGAAATAACAACTCCTAACGAAGTTACTTATCGCGTCCAGGGTTCATCCATATGCAGTCCTGAGAAAATCTTTCGTATATCTACCTTTAGTCCAAAACCAGAAGCAGATGCTCCTACGGTTCCGAGTGTTAACTCCCATATCCAGATAAGAAGGAAGTTAATGGATTCAACTTTATTTACTCCTAAACAAGAGTCTGATTGTGGCAATACAACAAATTCAGGATGTGTCAGCTTAACAAGAAGCCATTTCTCTGACACAAACTCAAGTGGCAGGAAGCAGCAGCCTGTATCTTTTGGTCCAGCTGTAGAGAAAAGGCTACGGATTTCCTGCTTGCTATGTAAAAAACCATTGGGCCGTCCTGAGAACGACCTCTATATTGGGTGCTTGTCGACTTCATCATCAAAAGTTCACTTACTGTCCCTTGCAAAGCAAGTATTAGAAAGTCAAGCTGAGACTATATCAACATCCGTGCCTCTTGTCCAGGCGGACATATTGTCAGTAGATCATCATCTCTGTAATAGTATTCGAGATGATGTTCCAAGTAAAGGGATTTGGTCTGAGGAAGATGGATGTGTTTTCAAGTCTGTTTCTTGTCCATTCTGCAGTCAGCCCCATTGTCTTGGAGTTCAAGTCATGGCAACTGATGCATCAAATGTTGAGTTGCTTAACAAAGTAAGTTGGCTTGGAACTGGATTCTAAAGTTATGCTCTTGTGTCACATAGATTGAGTCTACTGATCCTTAATTCTTGAACCACATTCCCATTCTGCAGATACTTCTTTTCTATGACCGTCTCGAAATTCAGACGGTGGGAGCTTTAGGAGACAAAGCATCAAAGAACAATGTAAGTTAGCTCTCTTGTAGAAGTGTTTAAATGTAGAGGTGGAAATGTGGGTGATTTTTATATTGAGAGAAAGGAAAAAGGAAACACACACAGACTGTGAATCAAGAATCGCAGTAGAATTTACAGGAACAAACTAGGAACTGTAAAATAGAGATAGAATAGAAGTAACAGAACAACATCCTGCTTATAACTAAATCTGATCAGCTAGTACTGAAATGTTGAAACATTTCTCATGAAACTAAAGCTTGATTCAGTAGTTGACCGAATGATCACATTTTCTGACTTACATGGAGTATTTCCAATGGGATGAAACATTAATATCGCAAGTTGACTTGATTGCAGAACCATGTCCGAAAGAACGGCTGTGTTGGTAAACCTGCTGCTCCAGCTCCCATTGAGAGATTCTCGTTCTCCCCACAACAGCAAGCTTGGTGGCTGGAGGAGTGCAAAGGTACATTGGAAAAATGTAATTAAACTCTTCGTTGATGTTCATCTGTATGCACAAATATGAATCCGTCCTCTGCTTTTGCAGCTGAGTCTACAGAAGAAGAGGCCAAGGCGATAAAGGGAAAGGGTTAAAGATTAGAGGAAGCTTTGAACCACCCATTTTTGCAGTGTATATACAGTTTGATTTTGGATGTACATAGCATTAGTCAGAATAGGTTGAGTCCACTCCAGAGCAGCTTTAGACTCCAGCAAATAGTTTGATTCTGCCATTCTGATAGAAACACGATTTTCGTGTTCTATCCTATTTATCATAATATTATTATTAGGATTATTATTAATATGTTTAGTAGTCTTCTAATCGTATTAGGTTTATTATTAGGGTTTTCCTATCTCTTCCTATAAATATGTACTTTGCGTTTTATTCAGGATCAATAAGAAGAATATTAAGAAAAGCCTTCCTAAACCCTATTCTCCTAATCCTCTCAATTCTCGTTCCCAATCCCTCTAAAGGCCTAGGCCGATTCTCTATCTATCTTCCTCAAATCCCTAATTCTGTTCCTAATCCCTAAATCCCCAATTCTCGATAGAACCCTAATCCCAGGTTCTATCATTTGGTATCAGAGCCTGGTTGAGCTCTGCTAGGCTCTCTGATCCCTCTTGGACACGGCTGCTGCAGCGGATTGACGCTTTCTGCGCCAACCGGGAAGTTGAGGCGTGCGAGGAGGACTGCCCCGCGGAGGCAGCTGGCGGGCCGCGCGTGCTGGAGCTGATCGCCGATCCGCCCGCGGTGATCGCCGGTCCGTCGGGCCCGACGCGGCGCACGAGTGGGGCGGCGCTGGAGCTGGCGGCGGAAGCGGGCGGCGGGCGCGCGAAGGAGGAGGGAGGCGCGCGGCGAGCGGTGGCCGTGGCAGTGGCTGGTGGGCGCCGCGGCGAGTCGGGTGAAGGGGGGAATGGCGCGTCATCGATCGTCCAAGGAGGAACGCCGGCGTCGGAATGGCACCGCGGCGAGGAGAAGGGTCAGGCGGAGGTGGGCGGGGGCCGCGGACTGGCCCGGGCCATCTCGCCGTCGACGCGAAATGCGCGAGGTTTGTTGGCAGCCACCCTTGTGATGACGAAGACCCGGAAGGTGGAATCGGAGATGAAGACGACGAAGGAAGCATCGCCGGCGATGGCAAGGAAGATGGCACGGCTGACGATTGAAGACGAGAAGGGAAGAGACGGCAGCTCCTCTCTTACTGCAGTGCAACCCTACAACAATTGGGGTTCCGAGCCTTGGGCCATGAGGGTTTCGCATGGGCCAGCTTGCGGAGCAAAACGGTTGGAAATAGGTAGGCCACATCGGAGAGGGAGTTATAAGCTTTTGAGCCTCGATAATCATCAAGTACCCCTAAGCTCTAAAAGAAAGAGGCTGTGGCAATTAGTGAAGAAAAGTTGCGTGTTTGGGCCCATGGGTTTGGTAATAGATTCCATGCAAAGGATACAAATGAAGGGACATTGGCAACATTTTTTGGTTGGTGATGAAGACCCCGAGAAAGCAAAGTTCCCAGATTCTTATCTCGTGGAGTTTGAGGGGGAGCATGTAGCGTCGATTGGTCAGGGAGATGATGACTTGTGTCACGCGGTTGGGAAAGCTTTGATGGAAGCTGAAGCTCTAGGATCCGAGGGTCATCGTGAGCTTAAGCCTAATTGGAAGAAAAGGAAGCGACTACGCCTAGAATGCGTGAGAAGGATGGAGAAGTGGGTTGAGTTGATCAACCTTGAGGACAAGGTTGGTCTCAAGGGGGAGGAGATGATAGAAACACGATTTTCGTGTTCTATCCTATTTATCATAATATTATTATTAGGATTATTATTAATATGTTTAGTAGTCTTCTAATCGTATTAGGTTTATTATTAGGGTTTTCCTATCTCTTCCTATAAATATGTACTTTGCGTTTTATTCAGGATCAATAAGAAGAATATTAAGAAAAGCCTTCCTAAACCCTATTCTCCTAATCCTCTCAATTCTCGTTCCCAATCCCTCTAAAGGCCTAGGCCGATTCTCTATCTATCTTCCTCAAATCCCTAATTCTGTTCCTAATCCCTAAATCCCCAATTCTCGATAGAACCCTAATCCCAGGTTCTATCACATTCACTGCTGCCGGATTGAGTTATAATGTTGATTGGATCTTGGTAAGTAGATAACAAGGTCGGATTAGATTGGTTCATTTGATCGTTTACTTTGGTAGTGAGCACTCTAGTCTAGTGTAGTCTAACTTGGCAAAGTGAAATCTGAAAGATGGAATGTACTTTCCCCGTAAATGATGAATTCTTGATTGGTTTAATAATGAATCTGGTTTTGGCGTTAATAGCCTAGAACTTCATTGTTTTATTGAATCTGATTTTGGCATAAGACTTATACTTGATGATACGTTGTCATGACATGGCTGCCATTGATAAAGTCTCTAAGTTCCCCAATTTGTGCCAATCGATTAATCCTTCACTGCGCTTTCAGGCAATAGAACGTAGCAGCAAAATCAGATGCATTAGAACAATTAACTCTAGTCAATCTGTTGCCTCCAGCCAGCAACCATGTTGGTCCATGATTGTATAGACAATGTGATTGCAATATTTATCTTGACTATCAGATTCATGCTAATTTTATTCAACGAAGCAAATTGAATCAAATATTTTGTTCTTCCATTTCTGGTTCGAGTACTTGTCTTTCATTTCCTTCATCACTAAAATCCTTGAATATACAACTTGGTCATAATCGGGTTATTGACTCCATACAGCCGATCTTAAGAACAGATACGCACTATATCATTATAGTTTTTTTGGTTATTGAAAAATGAAAACCAGTTCCATTATCAATCTGTTCCAAAACCGCTTCCATCTATCTCCAGCAGCTGTAGACTGTAGTAATGGCTTCGTTTCGGTGGCTTGTCGAGTTGTAGTTTGTCTTATTTTCTGGATTAATTGTTGTCAAGCCCACAAGGCAGGACTAGGACTAGAGATGGATGTATTAAAGCTGCTGCAAGTTCTAAGAATGATAGCTTAAATAAGGAATTACATAGATTGAGACTTTATACTCACTTCACGACCATTTTGTGGTTGGATTGTATACTAATACGGATACAAAACTTTCCAAATGGATCCAAAACGAAGTCGAATCACAATCATATTCCAATCCAATCCATAAACAAGTGGGAATATATAAGGTTCCAATAACGCAACAATCACTCCACTAACAAGCCAAGAAGAATCCCAAATGGATTCACGCTTTACTATCCTGAACATTAGCTTCATATCTTCCTATACCACATAAAACTCCTTCCCTAGCCCATATATATATTTTGCAACTATTTTACATTTCAACTGTGAATCATCATTCATCTACTTCTAACTTGATAAGCAGTGTCTATTAATGCAGCAGCTCTATACCAGATCTACCTGCATAAGAAGCATCATCAGGAGAAGCCATTTTGCTGCTCCTGCCAGTATAAATTGTACCCGTCACACACCTCCAATTTGCCAATCAACTGGTCGATCCCTGCACACAAAAAGGAGAAGCCATGAATCCATCTTAACTAACGTTGTTCCTTTAATGGGGATGGATTAATCCAGACCTACAGACAAGTCTGGCGGTGAACGACTCGTTGCACAGCCCCTAATCATATCCAAATGTTTCAGGAAACGAAGCAAAAACCTACCAATCTCTGGGCTGTGGAAGTAGAGCTGATCGACTATAAGCTGCTCGTTTTCGTTCTCATTCTCATCTTCTGCTGGTTGCTTATTCTCCTTCTCCTTGGCAGCAGCATCCAGCTCTGCTTCAACATCAAAGTTTACAGCTTTCGGCGCCCCTGGAGCTGATGAGTGCTTCCTTTTGCAACGAGCCCTTCTGTTCTGAAACCAGTTGTAGACACTGGCTTCTTTAACTTGACCGTACTTAGACAGCTCAGCGGTGATCTCCTTGATCTTCTCTTTGCCTGGATTTGCATTGCACTGAGCGAAGATTCGCTCGAGGATTTGCAGCTGTGCCTGCTTTGGCGCCCATCTTTGCCTTGATGGAATCCTGGATGAGCCGCAGGATGACAAGGGGTCGCCATATGGCAGCATACCTGGAATTTTAAACAAACCAGCAAATGAGATCTTACCACATCGACTTGCTATAGACACGCCAAAACACACAAACAAATGACTCAACAAGAGCTTAGAACACAGCTAAGTGAAGACGGAATACGTAGCAAATAGTGTCCCCAGCCGTCCTAAATCAGACCAAATCTATCTTATATAACTTAGATTCTATTGCTTCTCTAACACAACTAAACACTCAGGCCAAACCAAATAGAATCGAATGTGTCTCCAGTTATGGTATTCAGCATTTCTTTGATTTTATATCAAAGCCGCCCATGCACACCCCTAGATCAAGATACAAAACAATGTTCTGCAGAACAAAACAAAGGAAACCTGAGCTTGATATATCTACCACTCGCGAAACGACAATTGCAGTGGACCAAAAAGGGCATCAAGGAAATGCTGCAATTCAGAAAATGGAAGCCAACCCACAATTCCTACTTCCAGAAAGCGATTGACTTTGTTCTCCTCCAAAATCCTTTCCGACCCCTCAATTGAAAACAGTTTCAACTCATTTTGCTTCCACTTAAAAGCTTTTTTTCACTCCTACTGCTTAAAGTTCATGCTGAAAAAGGGGGCAAACGACAGGGGAAAAGGAGAAGCAGAAAGAGAGGCTTACCCGAAAATTCAGGGCGATTGAGGGAGAAGGAGGTGTGCATCGCGACGAGCCGCTCGCAAATCGTGGCGTAAACTGAGATTTGCTTCCGAAGCATCTCCATTTGTTCGTCAGTCATCACTTGAACACCTAACCCACTTCCAATCAGCGCCTCCGCCACCGCATTGTTGTGGATTCCACCTCCGTGTCCCAGCTGGGTCTGCAGATGATCGACGCCGACACCGGCAGCTGAGACCGGCGGCTGCTGCTGCCGCCACCCCATCATCGTTTTCGATGCTAGCTGACTCGCTACAAAGCCCGGCTTCCGATTGGGGGTTTTGAAAGATATGGAAAGGAAAGCGAATGGGGGTGAGGGAGAAAAAGCGGATAAAGATTGCGACTTTTTGAAATTTGCTTCTTGGCGTATTGTAGCGGGCGGGAGAATGGAAGTGGTGGTGGGTGGCGCACTCTAGCCTTGATTGCGCGGGTTTCCCGCGGTCTTTTCCCACGCGAAAGAATCCACTATATGGGCCGCCCGGTTTGGTAAGAAATCAAACCCAACGAGGTGTATGATCGGTCGAAAAGTAAAATAAAACGTATTTCTATGAATTATTATCTTTAAAAAGATTAGAAATATTATTAAATTGAAACATACACATTTGATTTTTTTTTGTAATAAATCCATTTTAATTACGTCTACTTTGTATAAAAATTAAATGAGACTCAACAAAATTTTGAAACCGCATCAAATTAAGTATCGACTCGAACTACTTTTGGACAAAATGCCGACTAGGTCTGGAAATAACCGTTACCCTTCCACCCTAATATTTCCTTTCCTTCCTCGTTTGAGCATAAGCCCCTTATGAGTTATGAATCATTGTTTGTCAATCACATTATGTTTATTATGGTAAGAAAATTGAATTTATGATATCATATTTGTGCTAATAATACTCAGCTTATACGATATGATATTTCACCAAATACAGATCCTTATCCTACAAATCCTGTAATCCCGCAAATTAAGGAAGAACATAAATAAATTCTACTGACAAAACAAAAAAGAATTAACAACTTAAAGGAATTCGCTATGAAAATTGGAAATGGAGTCACTAATTTCGGTGGGTAAATGTTAGTGGGCTCAAGATCATCCTTATTTCACAAACAAGCCTACTGGGTCATATGATTCCACAGTATCCCGAAGGCCCTTATAAGCCCAAAATATGGCCAAGCCCAAATGACAAAGTGGCACGACACCAGAGATTCCATAGTGTTTTTGTCGTTTTCTTTTCATGAAGGAGCACTGTTTCCTCGGATATGGCCCGCCTTGGCCGGGAGTTTGACTCGCAGATGGCGACCCGAGCCGAGAGCAAGCAAAAATGGCCTTCTGTTTGTCTTAGATCAAAAAGCTCTTTTCCCCGATTCCCTCATCGTCGTACAAAGGACCTTTCAACGGAGGAGGAAGACAATTTGGTCACTCAATCTTGAGCGCGACGTTAAAACATAAAAATCCCTGTGGTGGTTGCTGCCAATTGCCATTTCCTTTGCACCCGCTGAAGCTCTCACTCGCCAATAAGATCAAACTAGTTTCAGCGAAAAAAGGAGCAATGGGGGAAACGAATCAGAAATCTGGATCTCCCCAGCAGCAGCAGCCTCTTCTGACTCCCTACAAGATGGGAAATTTCAGCCTCTCCCACAGGTAAAAAAAAGTCCGATCGATATTTGAACGAAAGAATGAAAATTTCCCCTCCCCTTTTCACGCTGATTGATTTGGTATATCCACCCATGGAACAGGGTAGTTTTGGCTCCTCTGACCAGGATGAGATCCTACGGCCACATCGCGCAGCCGCACGCTGTGTTGTTCTACTCCCAAAGAACTTCCCCTGGCGGTCTCCTGATTTCGGAAGCCACTGGTGTTTCAGACACCTCTATTGGGTAACTTCACTCAACCTTCCTCACTCCTTCCTCTCATTCATGTTCCCTTCATCGTTACTTGTTTTTGCTTCTAACCCAGTTCTCGATGACCAAAATCAACTTCTGGGCATGGTTCTAATTCCCCCTCTATAACATATAGATACCCTAACGTCCCTGGAATCTGGACTAAGGAGCAGATAGAAGGGTGGAAGCCGATTGTGAATGCCGTCCATGAGAAAGGAGGGATATTCTTTTGTCAGATCTGGCATTCTGGCAGAGTTTCTGATTACTGTGAGTGAGGGTTTCTTTCTTCAGTTTTGTCCAAACAATGGAATAAGCGAGGTGAAAAAAGTGAAGTTTGAACCTTTATGACATTTGGGTTTGATGGTATGTTGTGTTTCTATTTAGGCTTCCAACCAAATGGGCAAGCTCCAATCTCCTGTACAGACAAGCCTGTTGGAGGTGAATTCCAGATCGATGGCACAAAAGCTCCTGCTTATCCTGCTCCCCGACGTCTTGCAACCGAGGAGATCAAGCAGGTTGTGAACGACTTTGCAGTTGCAGCAAGGAATGCTATGGAAGCTGGTAAAGGCAGATTTTGCTTACTGTGTTCCTTGTTTTAAGTGATATCTATCTGCTAGCAAATATGGAGTAGTAATGTAAGAATGGCCAACAGGTTTTGATGGTGTTGAGATCCACGGAGCCAACGGGTACATCATCGATCAATTCCTCAAGGATCAAGTCAACGACAGAACCGACCACTACGGTGGAACGATGGAGAATCGATGTCGATTCGCCTTCGAAGTTGTTGAAGCTGTGGCTAAAGAGATAGGAGCAGACAGAGTCGGGCTGAGGCTATCCCCATTTGCAGACTACAACGACTGCCCCGATTCCAACCCCGAAGCTCTGGGCCTCTACATGGCTCAGGAGCTCAACAAGTATGGCATTCTCTACTGCCATGTGATCGAGCCACGGATGATCACTCAGTTCGAAGCACACGATACCCATAACAGCGTTCTGCCCATGAGAAAGGCCTTCAAAGGAACGTTTATGGTTGCAGGAGGATACACTCAACGCGATGGGAACGAAGTGGTAGGAAATGGAGGTGCTGATTTGGTTGCATTCGGACGCTGGTTCCTGGCTAATCCTGATTTACCGAGGAGATTCGAGCTGAATGCAAAGCTGAACAAGTATGACAGAAGTACTTTCTACACACATGATCCTGTTGTTGGTTATACAGACTACCCATTTCTTGAAGCTGCTGACAAATGAAGTCTGTAGTTCCGAGTTTCCATTTTTTGTTCACTCCATTGGTATGGCTGTCTCTACTGGCGTATAGCTGAACTTCTAGAATAAAACACCTTGTCGGAGGCTGTTGCTCCTTAACACTAGCATGTATCAACAACTCGTGCGTAAAGGAACAAAATTGATGGCTCTCGGTATCCAATCCAAAGTTGCTTTGATTTAGATTACATGAGTATACAGTCAACGAAGTAGTTGCTAATGGAGGAGCTTATTTGGTTGCATTTGGACGTTGGTTCTTGGCTAATCCTGATTTACCAAGGAGATTTGAGCTGTATGCAAAGATTAATAAGTAAGAGATGTATTTTTTTACGCACATGATCTTATTGTTTGATACACAGAATATACAAATCTTGAAGCTGCTGACAAATGAAATCTGCAGTTCTAAGTTTCCATTTTTGTTCACTAAATTGTTAATCTCTTATTTTGATTCATAACTAAGACGAGTTCTGTGTCTAACTTACGAAATCAAAAATGAAGATGATCCCAAGTAGTTCAAACAAGTGTGATTAGCTTTCTTTCTTTTTTTTTTTTGTGCTTGTGGAACGCAGATTTGTGCCTTAACTCTTAAACTAGTGAATTCATCTAAATCAATCAAAATAAGATAATACAAGTGTGATTACCGCAGTTTTGTTTCTTAACTGGCGTATCTATCTGTTCAAAATGAAAGATAACACAAATGTAGTTAGCGAAGTGTAGTTCCGTTTCTTGCCTAGTGAAACAAATCTAAAATCAATCCAAATAAGATACAACTGAGTCACTCATTCAATCTGGATCCATCAAAATAAGCTCACAAAAGCGATACTACTCGGTTGCCTCACTCGGCCATCAACATCTGCAGTTCTGCACCCCATCTCATAAGGGTATCAACGGCGTGAAACATGAATCGGAAGCCTAATCCAAAGGTAAACAATAGTCACTCGAAACTGTAAACTGACGCTGAGCAAATCACAATGCATAAATAAAAGCACACCTAGCAAATATTCCAAAACTCTAGACCTTCAAATCACCAAAGCCGACATCCAAGCAATCATAATCAATGATCAGGAGAAAGAACCATCATTTGCTGCAACTGTTCAGAAGTTTGTTACCCTCCACTGACAGAACATAGACTACAAACAGCAATTCACCAACCTCTGCAATAATGACAAACATTATCTGACTTCCAAGGTGAAGCCAATCATTATCTTTGGTTAATCACATAAACAAATATCCACACATCTAGATCACATTCCAGAAAACAGTTGGGGGACAACAAGTCCTGAAAGAATGAACACAGAAGACAAGAAGCCACTGGAGACTATAACAACATGAAATCGAGTTCAGAATCTACAGAAGAGGACCATTTCAGCTAAATCATTAAACCTTGATTCAGATTACAGATAGATTCGATCTCCCCACTTCTACAACAAACTACAGCGCAACCGACAGTGAACTCCTTACAAAGGAGGATGAACAAGCTGGGGGAGAAGAGATGCCATCCTCTTTGGAGAGACAAGTGGGGTAGTAACTGGGAAAAATTAATTAACAAGGGAAACTATCCATCCAGCCATTAGACATGTTTTCCAAGGGTACATTGTAAACAGCCTACATGACTAAAGCTCTATTCTTCTCCGTTCATTCTCTACTCCTCATCATCATCCTCCTGTCAGACCATCACACAAATGAATTCCCATGTGATAATCAACACTACAAAAATTATAAACCAACTTAAATCAACTTATCAAAACTCAATTTCAACTGACCTCTCCACTGCCTTCTTCATCGTCCTCGTCATCGTTAACCTCGGACATCGACTTCTCAGACTCCTCTTCATCCTTGGGTCCCTCAGCCTGAGTTTTCCACCCGAAGAAAGAAATACACACATCAGAATCTGTAGAACCATGCATTCCTAACAACAAGATGGCAACGCCAATTGAGCAAGACAAACCACCTGTTCCTTATTGTAGGCCTTCATCTTCTTCTCATACTCAGCCTTCCTCTTCTCAGCTCTGGAGATGTAGGGTTGTTTCTCCTACAATTTGCCCAAATTCAACCCAAATCAGCAATAGCCCAACGCATCCAACCAACACAAATGAACCATAATCGCGCCTAAACTAACTCACAGCATCGGTCAAGGACTTCCATTTTTCTCCAGCAGCTTTTCCAACCTGAGATGATATCCATACAAAGCAACGGGAACCCATCAGCAAACTAAGCAATTTAAGCTCAGACAGAGAATAAGCAAGCAGGTAGAGATGGATGAACCACTTACAGCTGCAACTGATTTATTTTTGGGGTGCTCCTTCTTGAAGGTCTCCCTGAACTCTTCCCTACAGTCGTGAAAGCAAAAGCCAATCATTACAAGGAAAACCTAGCACACACCAAATAGTCAAACCATCTAAACAAACACACGGCCAAATGAATCAGAAGGCAAGCAAAACTAAAAACTCCTCCATCAATTTACCAATTCACAGGATTAACTATAAACCCTAAAAACCAATCAAAATTCCCCTAAACAACTTGGGAGAAGGATCTACAGAGTGGGAAGGGGGAGGGGATAATTACATGAAGACGAAGAAGGCACTTGGTGGCCTCTTGGGCTTGTTGGGGTCTTTAGCTGCTTTACCGGCTTTCTTCGTCGGCTTAGCAGGCTTCTTAGTCACCGACAACCTAAATCACCACCACCACGAACGAAAGGGGAAAAAAAACAACCACAATCGTCAGCTCAACAAACTCGATCTACGATCCACCACTCGGCTGGCGATTCAGATTCTCTCCTCACGAATTCAACCAAAACCGGAGAAAAGAGGCAAGGGGAAGCTCACTTGGTGTTCTTGACATCAGACTTGGATTTACCTCCCTTCATCGTAAATTCTGCAAATCCAACGCCAGATCAGCTCAAACCACCGCGAAATCGAAAAAACCGAGCGAAATGAAACCAAAATCGACGAGGAGATCTAACCTGAATCGACAACTGCCGGCGAGCTAGGGTTCTTTGGAAGCGAGCGAGAGAGAGGAGAGGAGGAAGGAAGGAAGGAGGGGGGAATGAAATGGACGCTTTTAACGCTGAAAGGCGGAGATATTAAGAGGAGGGGAAGGGAGATGAGAGAAGAGATAGAGAGAAATGGTGGAAATTGAAATTCAATTGCGCACGAAATGAAAGTGGAGGGGTTTAGGCGGGATTTTACAAAAAATATTGCCACGTCAGCGATCCGGGTTCGATGGTTTGATTGGCTGGGAGGAGGCGGAGATGGAAGCCTTGGTTGCCTTTGTGTTTTCCCCTTGTGCTTCTTCGCTCTCTCTACGTTGTGAGTTAGAAAGAGGCCTGAAGAGGGTTTCGGTCAACAAAAGATTAAACAAATTTGATTGCCCCTCACCGATCAACCTCCTCCGCTTGATATTTTTTCCTCCTTTCAAGCCCCTGGTGCTGCTGCCCGGCTGCCCGCGAATGTTCATTTGGTCTGTATTTCTTTCCTTTCTTAGATACCTTTTTCAAATTACAAAATAAATAAAGAATGGGATTAGATTGTATTTAACTTTGTGTAAGTTGATGATAACAATTAATTAAGATGAGAATACCGTGTTGGATCTCAGTCAGCGCTTCTAATTGCCTCTACTCTTGTCCTAGTGAAATTATTTAAAAAAAACAGCTCAATTGTAACTGCTCTTTATGAATCGGTTAGTATTATATCATAAAAAACAACTTGACAATAAACTCTATCGATTCGATGTTCCTCACATTTTAAGTAGTAGTATTAATCTATCCCACCATGAGAAAAATAAGAAAACCTATCATTATTATCCTAAAACTAACACTGTGTTTAGGAAGGGCGGAATGGAAGGGAGGGAAAATACCTCAGGAATCTAGGAACTTTCCTCCGTCTTCGAGAGTGAGAACAGTAAGAAAGCAAGGAAAACTAGAGAGACTAAACACTATGGGGTCATTTGGATTCAGGTTTTTAATTTGTGGGATTTTGGCTCAAATCACTGGTTTAAAAACCCAGGTTTTTAATCTGTGGAATTTGTGTGGGATTTTAAAATAGCTGATCACCATCAGCTATTTCATAATCCCACAATTGTGGGTTTCTGAAATCTCTAATATTTAAAATCTCTTATCATATAATTGCTTTCCAAACGAGTGATTTTAATAAAATCCCACATTATGTAGGATTGTGCCCAAATCTCACACCCAAAACCTGCATCCAAATGACCCCTATGCGTTTGATCCTTCCAAAGTGGAGAGAAAAGGTAGGAAAGGTGTGTTGGTTGCTTATATCTTTTATTTTACAATTTTTTTTGCCACTGAGTTCTTGTAGAAGTTTTAAAATATTGATCCACTTTTTCTATGTAATTAGGTTTGGCTAGAACATGTTAATGCTTCTACAAAATATATAAAGGCAAAACATGGTTGGAATTCTCCCATTTTAAATTTCGTGGCGTGAGAGTGATTCTAGGAAGATAATTTTTGTCATTGCACTTAGTTTATGTTTATATATTAAAAATGTTATAAATGGAGTTCAAGCCTTGGTCACTTGAATGAAGAAAGAGCATTATAACCAACTAGGCTACATTTTATTTATTGTTATTTCTTTGATTGAACTCTATGAATATGTTTGGTGATGATGCTTCTATATTTATATTTTATCTTAAGTTATTTATATTTTATAGAAAGATATTAGTTCTGAAATCAAAACTCAAGTAGTATTGATTCGAACATTAATATTAAATTGTATGTGTTCTTTAGTTCAGACAAAATACAGAAGTGTAATCAAAACATGGACCTTTGTGACGAGTATAATCATTTTTTTGGGACAAATCTACACATAATGTAATGATAAAATTGGAAAATGAGAATCTCATTTCAAATTTGTTGGTTTGAGAGTGATTCTAGGAAGCTCTTTTTCGTCATAGTGCCCAATATATCTTTATATTATGTGTAGATTTGTGACAAAAATTTATTATATTTGTCACAAAGGTCATTGTTTTGGCTACACATATGTATTTTGTCTAAACTGAACCACACATATAATTTATTATTTAATGTGTGAATCAATGTTACTTGAGTTCCGATTTCACAATTATCCCTTTCTATAAGATATAATAATTTCAGGTAAAATACATTTACTACTTGGTTGAAGAAGCTCTTTCTATAGGATATATTCAATGTTTAAAAATTTTCTATTTCAAATTTCGTGAAACGAGAGTGAAAGTAGGAAGAGCATTTTGCCATCACAATTATTATCTAATTCATATGTAAAAGTATCAATATCAAGATTTGAGCCATGGTCCCTTCAAGCAAAAACAATAATCACAACCAATTACATTAAACAAATTTGTTTTATCTTCATAGATTGTAAACATGCACTAAGCGAAGATTTGAAAAGCAAAGGACTTTTCATGGTTAGCAAGCCTATTAAATCTTCTGAAAAGCAAAGTTTAATACGTGATTTATAATTTTTATAAGGGTTAATATTTTCGTATGGCCTGAACTTTGACCAAAATAAACATCCTGGCCAATCTTTTCGATCTATAACATCCTGGCCTGAACTATACACCAAAATAAACAATTTGGCCAAACCCGATGTTTGACCGTTAACTTGGACGGTCAAACGCGTTGACTAACGATCAACACGCCACGTCACTGCCAAATCAACAAGTTTAAATTAAAAAAAAATTCCACCTATTTCATTTTATTTCCTTTCTCATTTTGAAGAATAAAAAAAAAAAAGTTCCCCAAAACGCAGGACCCCCTGCCCTAACCCTACCTTATCCATATCGCTTCATCCCCATCCACAGAATTCACCCTCCGTTCTCACCTTCTCCTTCCTTCATCGTTGAACCTCCTCACCTGACAGACTAAAATGCAGCGGCGGGCGGATCGATGGCGGCCCTGATCGGAGGTCTTAGTGGAGCCCATGGGCCGCTTTCTGTACGAATCGACGAAGTCGGGCCCGACGATGAGGTCCAGGCTGAAAGCCGCGTCGTCGTCCGCGGCCAGGTAACCGGGGATCGGGACACGCCCAGCTTCGATCTCGCACACGTATTCTTCCAGCTCCCTGTATTGTTCGATCACATCGGAGACCGATTTTCCCGGGATAATGGCGTCGACTTTGAGCCAGTGGTGCGGATCGTGCTCGCCGTAGAGAGCCAGAGCGCTCTCGAAGGCCTTGTTCTCTTCTTTGGTCCACTCCGAGCTCTAGCTGCTGCTGCTGTTGTCGTTTAGCAGGTGGTGGCTCGACATGTAGAAATGCGGGTAAAGAGCTTCCATGGCTACTGATTCGTTTTTATGTGTGTTCTTTTGCTCTCTTTTGGTGGGTTCAAAGAAGGAACGGAGTCTTCATGGTGAAGTGTGAGAAGAAGGAAGGGCGAAGTGAGGATTTTTATCAGTTTCTGAGTTGGCAGAAAACAGAGGAGAGTTACTGAAGAATATGCTTTTTCTTATGTGGAGAATATGGGAAAAGGGGAATCAAGGGAGGGGGATTTCAAAAGGAGAATAAAAATCTCTATCTCTTTGTGTCGATTTCAGCCTTGGGAAGGAACCCAGATCGGGAATTGAGACGAGATTTTGTGGGGAGGTAAGAAGGGCAGTATATGAGAGGAAGAATCCAGGAAAAAAATAGAGTCTTTGATTTGGGTGGTTTTACAGTGGAATCTTTTATTGTGGAGGAAGAATTGAGATGTGGGTTCTCGATTTCTGTGTGTGGCGGAGATGAGATTGAAGAAGAAAGGTCGGAAGGTTGGGAAGAAGGCGAGGAGAGGAAAGGAAGGCAGAGGTTAATGGCAAGTGGGAATCGATGGCGGTGGCGGCGGGGCTCAGAAGATCGCCCGCCGCTGCATTTTAGTCGGCCAGGTGAGGAGGTTCGACGATGAAGGAAGGAGAAGGGTCCTGCGTTTTGGGGAACTTTTTTTTTTATTTTTTATTTTTTTCTTCTTCAAAATGAGGAAGGAAATAAAATGGAATAGGTGGAATTTTTTTTTAATTTAAACTTGCTGACTTGGCAGTGATGTGGCTCGTTGACCGTTAGTCAACGCGTTTGACCTTCCAAGTTAACGGTCAAACATCGGGTTTGGCCAAATTGTTTATTTTTGTGTATAGTTCGGGCCAGGATGTTATAGATCGAAAAGATTGGCCAGGATGTTTATTTTGGTCAAAGTTCAGGCCATACGAAAATATTAACCCTTTTTATAACCTATAAAATGACGGGTAATCTTAAAATTGCAACACAAATTTCATTGCTTGAAATATTGCATATCAAACTACAGTATTGAATATGCAAAAGTGATGTAGAATTTTGTAAATTAACATGAATTTTCAGAGCTAATACAAAACAATAATATTTTGTACAAACTATAGGTGACTGATTCTCTAAAATTTCAGCTTGGTTAATTGCTAAACGTTAAACTCTTGCTAATCGGGCATGAATGGGCCCGACAATAATGAAACGATATCGAGTTTAATGTGATGTTCATTTCGTCAGTTTCGGATCGGATGTGTTGATCAATTTATAGGGCATTGACATATAAATGAGTTATAATTAACCTCATTATACAATTTTTACTCTTTATAATAATTAATTTAATCTTAATATCTGTGATGTTTGAAATATTTTATGTATGATTTTGAGGTATAATTATTATTTGTGACATCTGTTGTAGTTTATTCAAATGTAGTATTTCATCAGGTAGTCAAAATCGAATACTGGGTGCATTTATAACTGTTTTTATCTTGGTGTTGTGAGTAGGTATTTTTTTTTTTAATGTTGGTGGGTCGTCTCATTAATACGAAACACGGTGTACATGGTTGAAACAACAATGAAAGGAAGGAAAAAGCCCACTGAAAAAGAAATCTAAACTAAACTTTACATTGGCCCAACACCCAAACCAAGGCCCAAGGCCTGATCCGAACAAGTGGATCCCGAAAGCCCAATCTAGAATCCCTACATCAGTTGACCAAGCATTGCCTGGTGGCCACCGAAAGCATCCCCTATCTCCAAAAACACGCCGCACCAACTCCTACCAACATGAGACGTCTTTCGCCGGGGAAGAATCACCAGAAAGGACAACACATCGCCGACGAGAGGACAACGGCCGCAAGAAAGGACATAGGGAACCAAACTCAGAACCTCTCCAAGATCTACCTGCAACAACAGACAAACCAGAGGAGTAACCCCTGAACAAGGACAGAACCGTGGCTCCTCAAACCCACAGATCTGAGCAAATCGGTCAAGAACCCACCAAAAAATGCCTTCCCTACTCTCAAGCTCCCCAAAAGTCTATCCTAGAACACAAAGGCTCATGCATCTCCCAAATCATCCCCAGCTATGGATGAAGTGAATGGAGGTAGATAGAAAAAATAGAGAGGAGAAAGCGAACCGAAAATCGGCACCCTCACACACCTACCCGGAAATCATCCACACAAGATCTGGAAACCAGCAAGGTGGGAGCAAAATACATCTCAACAAGGAGGGAGAGAAGTCATCATCCATGGGAAGGAAGAAAACCAGAAAGGGGAGGAACAAGCAAGAAACAGCAAGGAAAAGGAAAAGGAAAAACAAAATCAAAGGGAAGAAGAGAACAACCTAATAAAAGAAAAGAGAAAAGGACTTGATTTTTTTAGGGCCACCGCCGGATCCAGGGGAAACCAACGACAGCCCCATGAGATTCAAAAACTTTGGTCTCTGGAGAGAAGGGAGAGAAAAGAGAAAGTTAGAGAGAGGAGAGATTTTTCGGGCATGTTGTGAGTAGGTAGAAACTTAATTATTACAATGCATATAACTATACCTAGGCACTTGGTCGATCTAACCATGAAGACAATGTATATGGATCGGTCATGTAGAAACATGAATGCTTCATGGGTCGTACCAGACTTAAACTTCAAGGGCTTGCACAAGTTCGAGCACCACACAGTCTATATTGGTGAACTCATGTTTTGTGAAGAAATGCGTCATTTGATAAAAATAAAACAAAATATTCTAAAATAACATGTAAAATTTGAATTAATGAGTAGTTTCTCACATCAACGTGTGACGGCTCATGTTCTAAAAGGTTTATAAAATACATTCATTGTTTATTTTGAGACTCAACCCTTTTTCAATGTATACAACTAATAATTCATTTATAAATTCATTCTTGATTAACTTAATAGCTGAAAAGTGTTTTTACAGCTGGCAGTAATAACAAACAACGTCAACAATAGCTTTAGAAGCAAGTAAAGTGAAGAAGAAATTGAGATTTAGTATTTATTTGCAAATGTGTGGGGGCGGGGAGATTTTTTTGTCTAAAAAAATTGAGAAAGGGTTGAAACTTATATATAATTTGTTTGAATAGTGAATATTGCATATTGAATTGGAGTATTGAACATTTTGGAAGCGATATATAATTCTTAAATTAGTTTAAATTTTCAGCCCGGTTGACCAATAACGTTAGACCATAACACTTTCAAAAATTTTATGTGCATAACTAAGAAGAAAATCATGCATTTCAAATCATCTATTATATCCATTATTATATACCATATTTCTCGACAAAATTCTTCCAACCAACTGGCCGAGCCCTGTGCTAGTAAGGAAAGATAATTGTCCTTAGTTTTAGAAGAAGATAGTTATGATTATTAAAAAATAATAAAATATATAGATATTTAATGTTTCTTATAAAATTACTCTACTACTATTAAATTAGTAAATTATCGTTTCACGCAAAAAATATTATCTTGGGCTTATTCGGTATTAGGGATGTGCAACGGTTCGTTATTGTCCGAATTGTCCAAGGATTACGAATGATTGATCAATTATTATATAGTCTCTATTTATAATATTTTTGTTTATTAGTCAACAGTTCATTAGTGGTTTCTCAAACGACTTAACACTGGTTAAACCATATCATCGACAGTTAGGCTGAAAAAACATCCTACCGGAGTCTAAATTGACATGAGATTTTAAACGCTATAGAATAATTGATGTAGTTAAATCACGGTTTTTGAACTATATACCCTACCACTAGTTTTTCCGGTACAATATCTAGTGCGGTTTAGAAAGAAAGTATAAATTCAATTCACAATTCATAAGTAGAATATTATACAATTAAATTATTTTACTATTAAATAACCAATAAAATAACATATTCATCACACTTCCCTATACACACTTTCCTTTCCACTTTCCTCCATAAAACAATATTTTCCTCCCAATTTCCTTCACCGTCAAATCTCCCCTCCCTTCCTAATTTTCTTTCACCTCCCCTTCTTTTCCGCCCTTCCTTCGGAAACAGATGTAAGGGAGTCAAGCTAATAGAAATTGTCAAATTATATCTAAGAGGTCCAAAACCTAACCATTTCTTCATTAGAGACGGTAACAACTTCTTATTTGATGTGTGCAAGCAGCACATCGAAGCTTTGACAAGGGTATGCGAAATGAAATGAACATCTCTCTCCGAATATAATCTAATATTGAACTCCAAATGATTCTCCTCGTTTTAGCAACAAGATTTTGCCTTTAAATTTTGAAACAACCCACGTCAGCTTATACTTCTTTTGGTCATATCGTCGGTACGATACTATCCAACGATATGATCAGAAAAAGCTTATTGGAGTCCAAACCGATATAGGATTTTACCAGTATGAAACATTTGGACCATGTGATTTAAGCACAAGGTACCATACATTGACTATTATGGTACCAGCATCGGTATGGTTTTTACAATATATAGTTTTCAGAGCAAGTCCACATAAACACAGTCCGTACTCCGTCAAACCTTCAAAGCCCCATTTCTAGAGCTTATCATAGGTGTTGATATGGTTATATATAATACCTTGAAGTTATTATAACGATGCTTTTGACCTGCTATAACAGGTTTCACAAGTCGCATTACATAAAATGCAATAGGCATTATGTAAAGGTTACGTAATGTGTGTTTATCTTACGTAACAGTTGAAAAATGTCATTACGGAAAGCTTACATGATAGACACTCATTTTACATAATGAATATTAGCCTTTCGTTATTTGATCTGTTAAATCATTACGAAAGACTTACGTAATGCTTCTAATTTAACTGTTACGTAAGAAATAACTATCGTTCTGTAACCTTTACGTAATAATAATTCTTCAGTGGTTCTCTCTTCTTTCTCTCTCCTGAAACTTCTCTGTGATTTCTAGGGTTACGATGGATGCCTCGCCGTCAGCCGGCCCGGCTGGTGAGGGCTCCTCCTCTTGGGCTCATTTATTTGCAGTGGCCCCAGAGAATCAGCTCCAGTATCGTCCTTCGATCAAATTTCAGGATGGTTTCCGTCTTCCGAAAGAGGTGAAGGAGAAGGGAGCGGAACGGTGGAAGAATTCACTTATCGAGCAGTTCATAGGTCTCGCCTGAAGATACCAGAGCTTCAATCTTGGTCAAACGCTCTTTGGGCCGAGATGGCGTCGTTCGAGTGTCGAAGTTCGGGGCGAAGCTCTTGGTGTTTCAATTTCCTTCTTCTGCTTCGTGCGATTGGGTCTTCCAGTCGGGTCCTTGGCTCTATCGAGGTAATCTTGTCTTCTTTGGAAAATGGAAACCCGGAATTCAGCTAGTGGTACCTAAGGTGGAAACGTTGCCAATTTGGGTCAGAATTTGGGGTCTTGCTTTGGAATATTTGGCGTTGGAAGGGTTGGAATGGGTCGCAAGTATGATTGGTAAGCCACTCTGGATGGATCAAAAGACTAGGGTAGGTGGGCAGCTGGGATTTGCACGTGCTTGTGTTGAACTTGGAGCTGATTACACGTTCCCAACTTTTATTCGTATATATCCAGATGATGATCCTCCATTTGATATTGGGATAGAACACAACAATCTCCCTTAGTTTTGTTCGAAGTGCAATGTGTTTGGACACAATTGTGATGCTAGTCCTAAATGTGTTTGTGTACAGAAGAAGAAGAATGAGAAGATTGAGGTATCTGCTAAGGTTCAAAAGGAGGGGGACAGAGTAGCTGAGGCTGAGCCAGTGAAAGAAATCCTAAGGCACCTACAGGATAGTGTTATGCAGAGCGTGTTTGCAAGTTTGGAGGAAGAGGTTGATACACAGCCTGTTCAAGAGGTGAGTGCTTCTTTGGCCACTGTGGACGAGACTGTCACCCCTGTTGATGTGACTTAAATCAGACTATCAGCCGCTACGACTGGTAATCGGGGGTCTCGCTGTCCGGTCAGCGAGTGGGGTCCAGGGGCAACGCCCCGATGGGGGTGCGAGGGCAACGCCCCCGACCCACGGTGTATGGGCTCAATGTTATTTGGGTTCAGGTTCTGGGCCTGGTCTATAACCGTTTCCTTTGCCATATTGGATTAGGTTTAGACCCACATGGAGAAGTACTATAAATACTTCTCATACTCCTCTGTAATCTGTAATCTCCTCGATATAGTGAAACTGGCTCTCTCTCTCTCTCGCCCGTGGACGTAGCTAACACACATCGTGTTAGTGAACCACGTAAATCGTGTGTCGTGTTTTCGATTCTCGCTTTCGTATTCTTGCTTTGTCGATTCCAGCGATTTCCCGATTTGTAGCAGCACGTTTATAACAAGTGGTATCAGAGCCGCGGCTGGAAATCAGGCTAGGGTTTTCGATTCAGAAGAATGACGTCGGTGAACATGAAGATCGAAAAGTTCATGGGGAAGAACTCGCTATATGGCAGATCAAGATGCGAGCTTTATTAAAACAGCAAGGGCTGTGAGGGCCGCTGTCTGCAAAAAAGAAGAAGGCAGCGGTCGATGAGGATGAGTGGAATACCCTGGAGGAGAACATCTCGAACAGCTTTTGAGGGAACATCTCGAACAGCTTAACTCTATTTTGCTGGATCTGCGTAATATAGATGTTCAAGTTGATGACGAGGATGCTGCCCTAATCCTACAGGTTTCTTTGCCGAGTTCATATGAGAATTTCGTTGATTCTTTTATTGCTGGTAAAGAAAGCGTGTCGCTGGAGGATGTCAGGTCTGCTCTTCATACGAGAGAGATCGGGCATAAGACGTGTGGATCTGGTATAGGTGGTGAGGCATCGGGTTTGGCTGTTACAGGTGGAAAGGGAAAGAAGAAATCTAGTAAAGGGAATTCGAACAAGAATTCCAAGGGTCCCGGTCCACAGCCAGGTGATGCTTGTCACAACTGTAAGGAAGTGGGGCATTGGAAGTACAAGTGTCCCAAGAGAAGAGGGCAATAGAAGAAACAAGGTTCAGTTGCCGTGGCAGAAGTGGACAACAGTTCTGAAGACGATCTCGCCTTGGCTGTAGATGAGAAGGCATATCGTGGTGATGTGTGGTTTCTGGATACTGCAGCCTCATACCATATGTCTCCAAACAGGGATTTCTTCACAACCTACAAGCATATAAATGGTGGTAACGTGGTCATGGCTAATGGAGTTGTCTGCAAGGTTGTTGGAATCGGGTCCATAAAGGTTCGGACACATGATGGTTCGTTCTGTACCGTGAATGATGTCGAGCATGTTCCATGAATGACAAAGAACCTGATCTCCTTGAGTCTACTCGACAACAAGGGCTTCAGCTTCAAAGGAAAAGGTGGAGTTGTGTATGTCTGCAAGGGTTCGAGGAAGGTACTGAAGGGCGTGAAAAGCATGGGACCTTGTATGCATTACAAGGGTCTGTGTTGTCTGGTTCTACTGCAGTTGCATCGTCTCAGGTTCATCAGG